CGAAAAACACGTATCGAAATTAAGGTTCGATTTTCCACATTTATGACATTAAATGATAAGTATCGACATTAAAATTTCGACGTGTTATCCTTACCTAGAATTCCAACATTTATGACATACAATTTGTACCCTAAATTAAGCTAATAATCAGATTCTCTATGAATCATCACATCAGTTTATCATATTATGAAAATTTACAAAATCAATTTACTTTAATCTAAAATCTTAAAATTTTAAATTTTAACTACATGGGTTAAAATTTAAACCTTAAATCTTAAATTTTAAAACTTAAAATCCTCCCTAAATCATAAACTCTAAAATTTAAAATCTTCAATTCTAAATTCTAAATAAGATGTAAAATATTAAAATAAATAAATTTATGTAAGTTAAAATTTACACAATTTTAATTTACATAATCTGCATATCAAATATATTATAATTTACTGTAACTTTTAGGTGTATTTGTATTTATAATTGTACTTATATTTATAATTTTTAGATATATTAATTATGTATAATTATACTTGTATCAAGTATATCATTTAAAAATTATTTAAATACATATAAAAAATTAGAAAAAAAAAGTTCGAACTATAGATTCCCAAAGAAAAATCCCAGAAAAACATATGATCATATGATATCTCTCCGTACAAAATATTGCCTGAGGGAGTTGTTTTATTTTTATTATATAAATTAGCTGACAAGCATCCGATTTAAAAACTTTTTAAATATTTATTAAAAAATCTTTTATATGTTTAATTATTTTTTTATTAAGTTAAAATGATTATAATGTAATATTTTTTTTAATAATTTCATAATAAATATTTAATCGCTCTATTATAGTTATTGGTGTTCGAATATTTGATATCTAAAAATATTAATTATTATTATAATCATTGAAATAATTTGATTCGTGCATACAATCTAATTATTTAATAGATTAAAAAATTTGATTTTTTTATTAATTATTGTATTTAAAATGAAACTGTTTTTATAAAATAATACATTTGCCAACTTTAAAAACCAAAATCAGTAAGCACACATAGCAAGAGTTTTATATTCTCTATGTTAATTTGTAGTTGTCACGTCTTTCAGTGTTTGGTTCCCGAGAAAACCTTTCAGAAAAAATAATAAACTAATTAATGGCATTTTCTAAAAGCAGCATCTAGCTTGATCTTCATGTTCCTCTAGGATTCATCACCAATTTAATATTCAATTGTTGTATACTTTTTATGTGAATGATTTCAAATATTCGTTATTGTGAAATTTTGGATTGTGTATTTCGCAAAATGCTTGGATTTATTCACATTAAAATTTGAATTTAGAGATTGGGAAAATGGGATTTTGACGTTGTTGGAAAATAGTTTTATAATTTTTTACATAATGCATATATTATTAAATTATTTTTAAATAATTATATATTTTTATCAACTATATCATTTATTAAAGATATAGATAAGTCACATTTTGAATTTATTTATTTTTCTTATATTGATAAATAAATTTTAATTAATATTGATATTTGTCTATTTTTTATGTTAGTAATTTTTTTAATTTAGTTTTATGTTAGTGCTTAACTTTTAATTACATTGGTATCTAAACTTATTTACTTTTCAAAATAATACTTTTTATATGATAATATTAAAGATGAAGATGTGATATTTTATGATCAAGTCACATTATTATTTAAAAGTGAAAAATATTAAAAAAACATAAGAAAATATAATATATAACATAGTTTTTAAATTATAAATTTACAAAATAATCAAGTTTAAATATATTACAAAAAAGTATTGATATGAAAAATAGACAAATTGAAGTATTAGTTCATATAAAAAATATTTTTGATAAATATATATTCATTTTAGAAATATTTATTCATAAGTTTTTGTTATCATATATAAAACTTAAATTTAAATAAGTTAAAAGATAAAGATAAATAATATTTATCATTGTTATTATGGGCTGGTTGACTCTGAGAATTAAGGTAAATCATCATGTCACTTTACAGAACTTTACTCCATTTAAAGATAATGGTTTGGGAATTCAAGGGACAATCTAATTTTTAAGTAAATGTCTCCATAATTGAAGTTTACAGTGAAGGGGTATTTCTGCTGTACGGTAGTCTAATATACAATTAAGAAAACATATTATTAAAAATATTAAATTTTTTAATATTTCTTGTAAAACACTATCTAAAATATTATTTTTCTATTGGAAATGTTAATTTTACTATCTAATTTCTAGTAGAAAAATCGGTAGAAAAAATAATATTTTAAATAATTCCAATATTAATATTTTCGGTAAAAAAATAATAGTACTTTTCAAAAATATAAAAAAATATTAAAATTTTCGATAGCACATTTACTTAATCGTATATTAATTTTATCGTACTTTAGACATTCCCAGTGAAGGGTCTATATATACTACGGGGATCAAAACTGTCTTAATATTTTTTTTCATTAATTGGACAATGCCCAAACATTCTTATCACATTTATGTTAAATCTATACATTATATGTTGCTCACATTTATTACGAATTTAATTATCAAGTATATAACTAAAATTATTAATTTGTCTCACTCAAAAAAAAACATTATTAATAAATGTTTGTTCAAGTAATAAATAGTTTGATATTTGTTTAAGTAAGATCTCGAGTTCGAATATTTGTATATGCAAAAAAAAAAAACATTTCTTTGAGACTCACTCGCCAAAATTAAGTGTGTGACGTAGGTTAGTCTGAATTAGTCAAGGCAAAGTCTTATAACTATATATTTGGGCAACATCATACATAGGATATGTACGTTGTTAATATATGATTTTTTTAACATATACTACTTTATAATGACTTCAAATTATTTAAGAAATTATAAAATATATTATTTTATTTTATTTTTCATGATAAAATTAATCATACAGCAAATAGAAACAATTATAAACTGGAATAAGGCTTCAAACACTAAATTTTACTCTCTTTTTCACTTCTAAATAGGCTTAAACTAAAAAAAATTAATATATATATATATATATATATATATATATATATATATTACTTTTAAGTCTTCAAATTAGACTTTAGTTAAAACAAATCTCTAAACTATTATATATAATCTTACCTAAATTATTTTGCATAGACTACACATGTAGTATTTAAACTATCAGTCAATTATTTTTTTTCAAATTCATACCTCTTGTTACATTTAGTTTCATTTTAGTCATCCATCTTTAAAAAATTAACAATGATGCAGATGTGTCACCATACGGTAACGATAATATTAGAATTTGTAACCTTTTTAGAATTGGGTTTGCTTTGGATATAGGTTGTTATAAGTGTTTGCATGTATCTCATGATGTCAATGCTAGAGGAAAAAAGGGGTTCATTTGTTGTCTCCATCTTGTTCTGCAAGGAGTTCGTTGAGGCTCCATTGTACACCCTTTTCACAGTATTTTGTATGAGAGGCACTTGAAGTTTCTCTTTTCTTCTTCTTCACACTATTACTTCAAACTTAAGACTCCTTCGAAAAATGGTTGCGAGAAAATAATTAAAATTCAAATTTATTCGTATTTTTTTAAAAACAATGTAAGGTAAGATACTTTAAAAGCAATGGGAAAATTGTGTATTTCACCTAAATATTTGTAGAAATTTCCATTTTGGGGTGTACAAGTATGCTACAAAAAGAGACAGATCATATGCAAAGGGTCTCACTAATTAGCAGACACGTGGCTTTGGGACTGATCAATCAGAAGGTCCCAAAAAGTGAACCATGTCAAAAAAGACACATCTCTCTAGTCTCTACACTCGTTGGCCCCCAAACAATCTCACTTTCCCAATGGTTCTTCTTAATCCAACTTTATGATCAAATCAATCCCAAATTTTATATCAGCCAACAAATTTTGATTATATTTTACAAAAATATATGGCATTGGTATCCAAATATATCACTAAAAAAATATTTGTTAAAGTTTATATTCATTTCTTATTAATTTTTGTAATAGTGTCTTTTTAGTAATCGAAAGTGTCATATAAAATAAATATATAATTAATTATGTATTTCACATATTTTTGACATGACATTATCTTTCGTGTGTTAATTATGTTTGGGTGTTAATGCATGTTGGTCTAGTTTTGGGTTCAATTCACCTTAGGATGAACTTTTTTTAGACAAATATTTAAGTATACTAGTGTTAAAATTTAAATTTTGGTCCTTATACTTTGATTTTATGGGACTGGGTCTCTTTGTTATTTTTAATGGGAAACATTAGTCTGGTTCACAAACTTTTGTTTAATTTTATCTTTAGTTATTATCCTGGTAGTTATAAAAATAGGGAAATAACATTTTATTAGTCATTTGTTGAACGAACATGTCATGTAAGACAGACACATGTCTTATTAATTATGCTTTTAAGAGGCTCACATAGGGATGAATCAAAAACGTAGGAGAGGTAATCCTTCTTTAAAATTTTTAAATTCTTTTCTAATTTTAATATTTTTTATATATATTTTATTGATAATTTATTTATATCCTTAAAATTTTATAAGTTCATCTATTAAATTTTTATAAATTCATCTTTAAGCGTAAAATCATGCATTCATCTCTGTTTATCTTTACCCCATGTAACATATTCAATATGAAAATACATGATGTATTTTTTTTATAAAAAACAATATGAAAATACAAATAGAACATTAAGATTTTTGAGACGTGAAGAGATGATCTGATTTGATTCTTTCGATAAATATAATGGGGGAAGGGAAAGAGTCAATGGTCTTCATGTGTGTCCCCCATTAACCCTTTTTATATTTGAATTCTTTTCAAAGAAAAGAAACAGTAAAAACAAAAAGAGAGTGGGGGAAGAACAAGACGCTACAACGCATCTTGCTCTTTGCTTTCTCTCCTTTTCATGGCTTTATTTTTCCTCAAATCCCAATGGTCCCCTTTCATATATAGATGACCCCATTTTTATTGCATACCCCACAATCCCCAAGCCACATCAATGATTCAACAACAGGTAAAAAAGAAAGATTTTGATCCATAGAGCCTTCAAATATTTTTCTCTCCCACATTACATTAGAAGGAAGGGGGAAACAAATCATGAAATCCCATCAACCTTCCATCCTATCTAGTTTCTATAGGCTGTACAGTTATCTTATTCCAAAGCTTCCCCACTTTGATTCTCTGTACTATTTCTTCCAAGTCTTCACAATTCACATTACTCTTTTACCACAAAAAATTCACCCCAACAGAAATAATTAGCATATGCACAAGAGTATGCAATTCAAACATCATGAGTTGCTGCCATTGGCATTTCCTCCAACACTCGCTGCTATCGGCATGCTCTCCACAAATTTACACTTGGAGACTTGCTTTAAGTGTCACGCAGGAGATGTGAAATTCCCAGGCATGGTTGCAGTCAATTTGTCTTCTCACGAAGTTACCGGTCTGATATGAAAATTCTTCCTATGAAGTCCCGGAATCTCTTTGAGTAGTGTTTTGGATCGACGGCCGATATGGAAGTAGGATCAGCTTGTAGGGATTTGTATGCATGCTCTATTTTCTTGCTGATGTCGTAGTCTTGTAAGATATCAATGATTCCAAAGTATAGGACCACTTCACAAACTTCACCATTGTATGAAGAGTGACCGGCTCCACCATGAGTATACTGATCAAAGTCGCTTCTTCTAGCCATCCGTACTGCTCTTGCCGGCATGTTCGCTCCTAACCGAATTAGTGGTTTCCTAGTAAAATAAAATTAATAAGACTTTGAATTCAATACATAAAGGGCTAGATCAAAATAAAAATAAAGAAAACCTTCAGTTCTTATCAAGGATCATAAAGGACAATTGTTGCTCGTAGCTAAGTGCCCCACAAAAAATTTAGTTGTCTTCTGGATTATAGACACAAGATCAAGCATACAACAAACTCAACCTTCAATTATTCCATGGGATATAAGTCAAATTATACCAAAATTTGGCAAACTACAAGCACCAGTTAGCCAATAAATAGACTATGCATCATGTAGGGACCTTGCTCAATTTCACATCTATAATAAGCAACTAACTTGAATCACAAAAATAATTAGAGACAGCAAACATACTGGCCAGCTAAAATCCGATCCATGTCTTGTAACTCCGCTTCAAGGAATCTACAACCACGCATAAGCTTTTCATTTTGATATGAACCATCTTTCCCTGCATAGGACATGCACAATCAAATCCATGTTTTTATTGCAACATAAATACTGCAGCCAAATTCCATAGAAAAAAAATATGATTGTGTATTAATTACCAGTGCGCAATAGAAATGGTGATAACCCCATTTTATCACCTCTATTATCATCACGAAAGTGTAGTCCAACCAAAAGACTGTAATCCATAATTCTTTCAGCCTCCAAGAACTCACAATCTTGATCAATTTGCCTGCCACCATTTAGTTATAGGAAATTAATGATGATACTTGAGAAGAATAAAGTGACACAACAGGAGAGGGATCAGCAGCAAGGGGAGGAGCAAAATTGTTTACTTCACAAGCTCCTGGAACCGATTTCTTTGGATGCGAAATACAAAATTGAGATCCATGTCTTTTAAGGTTGTGGTTTCATCAATTTCCTCCTCAGGCTTATCAGCTGAGCGACCATAGGAGGAGCCTTTAAGGTCAAACCGTCTATGGATTCGGTACTCGGAGCAGAACAAATTGCCCATTACAATGAACCGGGTCTGGTATTTTTAACCATATTAGTTATTGAGCAAGTGAGAATAGTTCACCGATGAACAAAGCATAAAATGAGTAATTCAGTTTATTTTCATCACATTCTTAACACATACCTTCTGGCCACTGATAGGTTTGACACAATGCACACCATAGAACTTTGTCATAAGGGAATTTTGATACCGAGTAACATGTTGGTAATAACTTGGAAGCATCCTCAGAAGGACCTGACATGGTTAACCAAACTTCAGATTAAGTCTTCAAATTTCTCATTTCAGAATCAATGGACCATGATGCATTGCAACTTTCATACCAAGTCAAATGGGTAGGCAACTAACCTTGATTTCTGATTTCTTTACCGTCTTTATCATAAACCTGTCATCTTGAGTAAGGTAAAAGAAACTTCCACTCTTCCCCGGAGAAGAAAGCTCCCTCAGGGCATCATTCCCGCAAATAGCTAGCATGTAGTCGGCAGGATCAACTTGGAATAGCTCTCTCAAATGTCTTTTAAACACAAAAGGAATCCAGTCAACAACATATCAATAAACAAAACAAATGAAATACGAGATGCAATCTTGCAAAAGCTAAAACAGCATACCTAAACACCATGGGACAATAATCCTTCCATCGGAACTCAACGGATTGATGAGGCGGCGTAAGCTTTGATCCTTCTGCAGGAAACCTCGTCCAGAACTTCTCTTTGGGATCAAATTCACCATGCTTCAACTCACGCAATACTGAAGCATGTTTACCAACAGAATGCCTTTAACAAAAAAGAGAATGAAAATCAAATCCCATATCGAAAATAAAAAGCATGTATTCACCACCAGAAAAGAAATTTCACCTGATACCTAATTGCAAATTGAGCATTAAATCGTAATTCTTATGGCCTTTGGAAATAGTTTGTCCAGGCTTCTTGATTTCCCCACTAAAACAACGAGGATTTCTTCTAAATGGCCTAAACCCATCACTGTAAATCATTGAAGCTTCCATGTTATCGATTATATCACAAGTAATATCACCTGCTTCACCGTCACTTTCCCATATACAAATCCTCGGGAAATTCATGTTCCTTTCGCCGATGCTTCCCCGACCGTCGACCGACGATCTCTTCCTCGACATAACCACCAAACTCTCTCCTCCCTTTAGACAATGCTCTTGCCCTTCGTTCAACTGTTGGAACTTCTTCATGTTCTCTTCGTTCCAAGCGTCGATATAGCAATTCCCGCCAGGCCAGGATAAAATCCCGTTTCCTTTGGGGACTCCGTTTTCCCATTGTCCTTCGTACCGATTTCCATTTCCCCAAAATAGGGTTCCACGACCGGAAATAACGCCGTTTTTCCATTCCCCGACGTATTCATTCCCGTTACTCCAAACATAACGGCCGTGCCCGTCTTGTAGGTTTTTCTTCCACGATCCTTCGTAGTAATCCCCATTGGCGTAACGTTTATGACCGTAACCGTGTTTCCAATTGGAGCTCCACGACCCACGGTACGTATCGCCGTCGGGTCCAATGAAAGTCCCGAGTCCTTCCATCCGACCCGACTTGAAGTCTCCTTCAAAAGTGGCTCCAGAAGGCCAAGAGAACTTGCCTTTCCCGGAAGCTTTCCCTCGACGCCACTCGCCTTCGTACATGCACCCATCTTTCCAGAGGTACTTTCCCGATCCGTTAGGCGCGTTGCTGGAGAAAGTACCAATGTACAAATCTCCGTTGGGTAGGAGTTTCTCTAAGGTAGCACCGGAATCGACGGTCACAAAGGGTGTAGAGGTAGTCGTGGGAGTGATGCGCCGAGTCGTAGCTTGAGATCGAGTCCGGTGATGGGTAGAAGTTGGAGTTGTAACAGCGACTACCAAATGGTCATTGTCGTCGTCGGATTTCTTCTTCTTGGTGTTTGAAACAACGTCGCTCTGCTCATCAAACGGTGCTTCGTTCATTTCCGAACTTCTCCTTTGCACCAAAAAAAAGTTTCTTCCTTTGCGTTGTAGAGTACACTACTTATCACTTGGTTTCGTTCCTGAGCTTCAACTAATGCATTCCGGAAACCGCATTTCCTGCGAACTTCTTTATAAATGTCTCTCTTTTTATATTATGTTTAAAGGGTTTTCTCTGATCTTTTTGGTGATTTGGGTTTCGGAGGAAATTATGAGAATAAAAATCCAACATATAAATAACAGAGGAAGGAGAGAAGGAAAGAGAATTATGAAAGAAAGGAAATAGAAACCCAAAGGGAAAGAATGAGCGAAGAAAAAAAATTGAGAAAATCGCTTCAATGACAAAAAATATCTTATAATATATGATTTTAATAATTTTTTTTTAGAATCGTAAATCAGTTCCCAGAATCGCAATGTGATAGTACAAATTCGTATTGTGATTTTCCAGAATCGCAACGCGAATATGAAAATCGCAACGCGAACATATAAATCGCAACGCGATTCTGACTATCGCAACGAGTATCCGTAAAATCGCAACGCGTATCCGTAAATCGCAACGATAATACGTAAAATCGCAACGCGTATCCGTAAATCGCAACGAGAATACGTAAATCGCAACGCGTATCTGTAAATCGCAACGAGAATACGTAAATCGCAATGCGTATCCGTAAATCGCAACGACAATACGTAAAATCGCAACGCGTATCCGTAAATCGTAACGCAATCGATAATTCGCAACGCGATCTCCGGTACCGCAAATCAGTTTCCAGATACGCAACGCGATTCTGACATCGCATTGCGATTTCCCAAATTCGCGTTACGATTTCCCAAATTCGCGTTGCGATTTCCCAAATTCGCGTTGCGATTTTCCTAATTCGCAACGCGATTACGTAAATCGCAACGCGATTACGTAAATCGCAACGCGAATACGTAAATCGCAACGCGAATCTGTAAATCGCAACGAGATTCTAACTATCGCAATACTGAATTTCAAATACCGTATAAGGGTGAAGAGAAGAAGAGATCGACATGTAGTCGGTGCAAGGAAAGTGGTCATACAAGGTTGACATGTGGATCACCAGTGCCATCACAATCATCTTTTCCTCTACCAAAATATGGATCCTCATCAAAATCCCAATCACAATCGGCTTCACCTTTTGGGACTGTTAACTTAGGTGATTTTTAAATGCAAACGTTGTATTATGTGTGAACTTTTAACATTTTCAGTTAGGCATGTATTAGTAACTTGAGTTTGAACATTGCTATGATAAGTTCAGTTGTTATCACTTATTAGACATTCATTTGACTATCGCAACGTGAATATGACTATCGCAACACGGAAATGACTATCGCAATGCGGAATTGACTATCGCAACGCGGAAATGACTATCGCAACGAGAGAATCGCAATGCGAAATGAAAATCGCAACGAGTGAATCGCAATGAGAAAATGAAAATCGCAACGCGAAATTAGTTTCGCATTGCGATTCACTCGTTGCGCTTTTCATTTCGCATTGCGATTCTCTCGTTGCGATAGTCATTTCCGCGTTGCGATAGTCTGTTTTGCATTCAACATAATGCAGATTGAAATCAACAAATCAACTATTACATTTCAATCAATTAAACAAGCACAAATATTATGTACACATAAATTAAACAAATCAACATTTACAAATCATCTTTTACAAATCAATTAAACAATCAAAAAATAATAATGAAATCAACTTTTGCACCCATACATCCATTTCACGCAGCTCACTTCAGGATTAACCTGCAGAAACCAAACATTGAATCAACAACACTTTCTACACATCTAAAACCTACAAACAACAAATTATTGAATTCTAGCTACTTAATCAAACATTTTCAAACCAAAATGAGTAAATATGTTTAACAGCATTTGCATTTAACTTACAAATTGTTTATGGACACTTTCATAACGCGGATGCAGGTAGGCAGCGTCTCGCATATATCGCTCTAGCCATAAAATGTCGAAACCACAAGCCTACTGCACCTCTATCTCTATCGGTGGGAGGTATAAAATATGTACTTCCTGTCGTCAAATGCTCCAAGCACATGCATACGAGAGGACCACAATCCCCTCTGGCTTCCTTCATTTGTTGTGGCGCGGTCTCGTCTCTGATAACTGTAACATTGAACTTCTTTGGCTTCTTGTTTCCAGACTTAGTCCAATAATCAATTGCATCCAAGAATTTAGCCAAATGAGAGCTCCATCCCTTAATCATATCTCTCAAATCAGACAATGATATGTAATTTATCATGCTGTCATATACTATTGTCTTTACGGATGGGAGCTGAAGCTCGACGATAAGCCAATGAGTACGGTCCAAAACAGGGATAAACACCTGCATCAAAATGTAATAATTCAAATTGCGCACTTATTTATGAACACCTTTAAAATATTTAAACAAATATACTAACCTTATCGACCTCCCACCATGCAGGATAAAGTTTAGCTTGTCCATTAGCCAACACATATGATTCCTGTCGTTGATTCTTCAAGTGAACTACGTGAAAAGACGTCGGTATAATTGTATATCGCGTTTTTTAATATTTTTCTTCAATTTCCTTACAATTAGAAGACGTGTCACCCATGCATCAATATGTTGTTTTACAAAAAAAGACATATATTAGTGAATTACATAAATTTTAAAAAAAATTAATCAAACTGAAATATAAGAAATATAAGACTTACCCCCCATCGAAATAGCCGCTGTCTTCAACCCCTAATAATACATCCCACCAAGACCGTTCAATCAACAAATGCATATCATCATTGAGTTTGTATATGTCAGCGTAACACCCTTGGCTCCGCTCATGTAGATAAAAATCAACTGCGGTCTTAGCCCAAAGGGTATTATCCAGAATTGTTTCTGGTAGTTGTTTCCTCTCCACTTCATCTGCCGGAATGGTACTGGCCGGTAACTTATACGAAAGCCAACAGTCATCCATCATGTCCGGCATGTGAGGAGGCTTCTCAATAATTCGATATATTACGCCGTGTGAATCGGGCTCTAGAATGTTGGGAGGGACCTCTTCAACGATGACAGTGGCCTCTTGAACGGTGGGAGGGGACTCTTGAGGGATGATAGGGGCCTCTTGAACGATAGGGGAGGCCTCTTGAACGATGACATGTGAACCGGGCTTTTTCTTACGGATTCTTCGCACTATTGGGGTGAACGGAGACGTAATGGCACGTGCACGCCGTCTGATGCGTGAACTCCGTCTTGCAAGAAAAACCCGATGTAGAGCATCCACCTTAGCGGGCCGCTAAAAATAAATTAATACATAAATCAGTAAATAAGCATACATGATATTAAACAGTGAGAACAAAGACAAATATATTTCAAACTTGCACGGTATTCACCCAAGTCATTATTATATCATTGTTCACAAAATGCATCAGATAACATTCCAGAAGTAAGCACTTATATAAACATTTAAAAGGACAACATATAGGTTTATTGCAGGTTCAATGACAACATAAATAGTAGTTTATTCTTGAAACTTAAATTTTCAACACTGTGAAGTTAGTATTTGTCTTTTGGTTGAAGTAATGCAATTCATTCAAGTTTCAATTTGCAGAAGAAGAATAGAATCTGAAACTTAAAATCGCAACGCAAAAATGACTATCGCAATGCGAAAATGACTATCGCAATGCGAAAATGACTATCGCAATGCGAATTTGACTATCGCAACGAGAGAATCGTAATGCGAAATGAAAATCGCAACGCGATTATAGTTTCGCGTTGCGATTTTGGTTTCGCGTTGCGATTTTGTCGTTGCGATTTTGGTTTCACGTTGCGATTCTCTCGTTGCGATTTTCATTTCTCATTGCGATTCACTCGTTGCGATTCATTTCACGTTGCGATAGTCATTTTTCACTTTGCGATTTTAAGTTTCGTGTTGCGAAAGTAAACTATTTCTTCTTCTGCAAATTGAAACTTGAATGGATTGCATTACTTCAACCAAAAGACAAAACAAAGACAAATACTAACTTCAGAGTATTAAAGAATACACAGTTTAACAGAATTGGCAGCAATCGAACAAATTTACTTTCAACCAAAAGATAAAACAAAGACAAATACTAACTTCACAGTGTTAAAGAATACACAGTTTAGCAGAATTGGCAGCAACCGAACAAATTTACTTTCAACCAAAAGACAAAACAAAGACAAATACTAACTTCACAGTGTTAAAGAATACACACTTTAGCAGAATTGGCAGCAACCGAATAAATTTACTTCAACCAAAAGACAAAACAAAAGACAAATACTAACTTCACAGTGTTAAAGAATAAACAGTTTAGCAGTATTGGCAGCAACCGAATAAATTTACTAAGCAATCTAAGTGAAATGGTTAATCTAAGTGAAATTATGAGCAAATTTATCATCAAGTTAAATATGGAAAATCTTAAACTTACCTCGTTGCATAGAGTATGAACCTCATTCTGTAACGATACTACCATCTCACGTAGAGCGGCAACCTCACCACGTAAAGTAGACACCTCCACACGCCATGCACCATCGTTATCGCGTAGAGTACCGATCTCCTCACGCAAGGCATTGACCTCATCACGTAACTCCCTTGACTCATCCCGTGGAGGTGGAGAACAGGGAGATAGAAGTCGTGGCATCTTTTCCGGTCGCCTATCATGAGGTGATGGTGGAGAAGAGGCTCGATGATGTGACGGGATAGGTGATGGCTCTCGTTGTAGAGGTGTATAGTCGGGTCGATCAGGTGATGGCCCTCGAAGTGGAGGAAGTGGAGGCTGCTCATCATTCGTGCCATCAAAAAAACGCTGACTAGCTTGCCACCAATCAGTGGCAAGCTCAGCCTCCGTGGGTGTCAATCTCTGTAATGGAGTGTTGGCCTCCTAAAAACATAAAAACTCAAACAAAGTTAAACGTCTACTATTAATAACTTGTTTATATATGATAGTATTTGTGTTAACTTACATTATTTATTGTCGCATATGGTATTAAGTCTTCCCAATACAACAGACGTTTCCTCTTCCAGGAAATAACCCTAGGAATATCATTTGAAGTTTTTAATGCATATGTCCGCATGCTGGGGAAAGCCTCGAATATCCAAATCTACAAACAATATAATAACAAACATTAGTAATTGTTAAATAATTAATTATAATTTTGAAAACATTATATAGAAATTCTTACCTTAAAGGCC